ATGGTCCTTTTGTTTTTGAATGTTGTTCGTTTTTTAGTCTTCATTTTTCTTTACCAATTGGAAGCACTTGGCAAAAGTGATCAGAGTCTCCTCCACAAAATACTTTCTTTATTTAGCTTTTAGAATACCATAGACTCCTGGTCCTGGTTTGACTCCTGCCATTGTGGTTACTCCGTCTCTCTCTCTCGCTCTCTCTCACTCTCTCGTGCAGATTCCTCTTTATTTCTTCAATATTAAGAGTAATCCATGGTGCTGTTGTTGAATCTTTTAATCACCTGGTTATTTCATTCAGTCTTGTATCTTTAAACACCATTGGTGTGTTGGCTGCTCCTAGATTTATATCTCTACCTTATTCCTCTCCAATAAATGCCATATTCCTTTATCCAACTACTTGAGAACCAAGTGATTACTGGAATTTGTATCGGTAACATGTCCAAAATGAACTTCTGATCTTCTTCCCAAATTTTTCTTTGTCACAATCATCTCAATAAATGGCAACTCTATCAATTTTTCAGAAAAAAATAAAAAATAAAAACCCTTGGAGTCATACTTGACATCTTTCTTTTGTTTTTTCCCATATCCAGTGGGTTATTAAATCCCATATATTCTCCCTTCAAAATCTATCCAGAATTTGACCACCACCACGGCTACTATCCTAGGTCAAACCACCATCCTGTCTGGCCTGGATGACCGTAGTAGCCTTCCGACTGGTCTCGCTACTTCTGCTTAGTTGCCCTGCAGAATACGCTCAGCACAGCATTCAGCTGACTGTATGAAAACATTGATCTGATACTGTCCTTGTTTGCTCAGACCTTCCAATGGCTTCACATCTCATTGGCACCTTCTCCTACTATCTCTCTTCATCACTCCACACTCCCCTCCAGTCTGATTTCCCCCTAAGCACGGTTCTGCCTCAGAGTTCTTGCATTTTGTATTAACTTTGTCTGGAATAACATTCTGTGAAAATCCATCTGTTCAGAGAACCTTTCCATGCCGCCCAATCTATGTGCTGTCAACACTCCCCCAGGCCTTATTTATTATCATCTAACATGTGGTAGTTTATGCCCCTGACTGTCATGAAGACCAGGGAGTTTGTCTGTTGTTTAATGCTGAGTCCTGGCACCTAGAAGAGGATCTGTTGGATAGTAGACACTCAGTAAAGATTTGTCAAATGACATCATGCACAGAGGAGTCCCCAGGTCTGTCCCAACATTAACAAAGCCTGAACTTCCTGATTCACCAATTCCCTGAATTTCAGCTATTAGGTCACACTAAAATTATTCTCATTAAATCATGTTATTATATAAATTCCATATACTTAACATTTATTTTATTAT